CTATTACAGATGATTGTGAGCCAAAATGTGGTTGCTGGGAATTGAACTCAGAACCTCTGGAAGAGCAGTCAATGCTCTTAACCTCTGAGCCATCTCTCCAGCCCACTCACTATGTTTTAAAGCTTCATATTCTTACATTTAAAGGCAATTGCATCGCATGAATTGTTTTGTGTCTCCCTTACCTAATAATATGACTTGAAAAGCTATATGTGTCTCTGTGTTGTCTCTGCATACACACATATGTGCTTGAGCTATGGTGGAACATGCTTATATTCTCAGCACTCAGGAGGCTGAGGTAAGGGGCTTGGGAATTAGAGGTGGGCTATGTGGAGAGTTCCAGACCAGCCTGGGATACAAAGCAAAACCCTGTCTCAGAAACAAATGAATAACCACCCCCGTATGTAGTCTTTTTGACTGCTATAGAATAATGGCATAGAAGTAACTTGACTAGGATGTACTGTAATGGAGAGGTCCAAATTAGGCTTTTAAAGTCTATATTGAACACTTTTGGTACAGAGAATATATGATGTAGTTCACACTACTATAACAAAATACCTGACATGTGGTCATTTATAAACAGTAGAATTTCATTTAAGGTCAAGGGGCAGATCAGGTGTCTGCTGAGGCCTGATCTCTGGTTCCAAAATGAGCATGGGGGTGGGGTGGTGACTCCGAAAGGCCTTCTAGTTCTCTTCAGCCCTTTAAGAACGTGAATCTCCCATGGTCCAAATCACCTAGTAGAGGCTTTAATGTGGATTAACCTCTAACACGGAGAGAGCCTCAGCAGATCCTTCAGGTGAAATTTCTGGGTCCAAGAATTTTTCCTATTAGTAGTTTTTGCTTTTGTTTAGTAGTTAGTGTTAATGTTGAGTACTAATAGTTAGTGTTTTTGTTTGTTTCAATTTTCTTCCTGGGATCCCCAGATAAGCTCCATGGTCCAGTTTGACTTGCTCAGTCTGTCTCTTCCACACCTTTGAAAGTCTGAAGTCTATTTGGTGTGTGTGTGTGTGTGTGTGTGTGTGTGTGTGTGTGTGTGTGTGTGTGTGTGTGTGTAGCTAGGCACATGCCATGGTACATGAGCGGAAGTCAGAAGACAACCTTCCAGAGTCAGTTCTTTCATCATACGGGTCCCGGGTTGAACTCAAGTTGTCAGTCTCGACAACAAGCACCTTTAAACACTGAGACATCCCATGATTCTCTGTTTTCAATTATGAGTTAGAGGCAGGGAGGTTAGTACTTAGCCCTGTGTAATGCAGAATGTAGGACTCCGAGGTATATTTCCATCCACGACCCCTTCTGCTTTTTCTGACTCTGGAATCTAGGGATGCTGAGAACATTCCAGAACACAGCAGCCTTCTAGATGCAAATCTTTCTGACCGTTTTCTTCCCGCTGCCTCTTGGACACCATTGGCTGGTGGCTTTCTCATTTAATTCCATTAGTGGAAGTGTGTGCCCTCTATCTTCTCCGGACCTCAGTTTTACTCTCTTAGCTCAGCTGAGTGTCACTCTGAGTTTTGAAAGACACCTGTCCTTTTCAAAGACAACCTATTTTGTTCTAGCAGCCATACATTTTTTCACCCTGCAGAACTCGCCCTTCAGTTCTGACCTGCTTTTTCCAACTCAGCTTTACAGTTACAAGGTTGCCGAGTTTGCCATGAGAACCACTCTTGAGTCTACACAAATTAGCTAATAACTCTGAATCATAATGAGCTAATAAACACATTGAATAAATACTTATTCAGTCAGGGTAGTCAGTTATAGTGGTGAATGCTGACATTTGCCCCACTAAGAAACCAATTGATCCCTAACTTCATGAAGCTTCCAGTCAGTCCTACAACAGACTCTCCACCGTGTTAAAGAGCATTCTAGCACTATATTAGAATAAAAGGGGATCTGACCCATCCAGTGGGGCTAAAAGGGGAGAGGTGTTTGTCAACAGCACTCTGCCAGAGTTAGGGCTACAGTGAGCCCAGTCAGTGTCCTCTCTACAACACACTGGACCCAGGACTCTAAGACTGGAGTAGAAAGTCTGGGACTGTGAAGTTCTTTCCTTGTTCCTTTGATTCCCCTATGGGAGCTAAATGCACAATGTCTCTTGTCAGGGACACCCCCTCCATTAAACATCATATACCTTTTTTCAGGGGGAACATTCAAGTTCAGGCTCTGTTCATCTTAAGGGTTAATAATCTCTCTCAATGTAAGTACCAGAACATGGTGCAATGGCCCTTCACTCTGTTCATGGAATAAAGGCTGTTCTCGGAAGCTATAAATACGGTCTGTGTGAAATCAACAAACCTGGTTGAGTCAGTGGGGAGGATGTTTTCCCAACCTGAGAGGTCCTCTCATATGTTTAGGGAAGCTGTGCTCCATTAGGACCATTGAGACAGAACTCTGTAATTTTAGTACTATTTAATTCAGACAGCCGGAAACTTATGTGGGTTGAATAGAAAGACCACCTTTGTTAAACTGTGGTGGACATTTAATGGGAGGTGATAGTGAAATGCAGGAATGGTCTGTTCCACAGAAGGGCTCCCCCTAGTTCTCACCCTCCAATGATCCAGTGAACCATTGTCTTTCGTTCAACAGGGTTGAGTGTGGTTTGTGCTACCCAGGGAGATGGAGACGATGGACCCCCTCAGGGTTACACCACCATGTTGGGAGTGTCTGCTAAAGATCCAAACTGAAAGATGAGAGACATTTCTGTTTTTCCAAGTCTTTGCCCACACCTGTCTCCCTCTTATGGGTGCCTCTACCCACCTGCCCTTGCAACACAGGCTGGGCACCATGCCAGCTTTTCTGAGATGAAATTAAGGCCAGCCCACCACTGTTCCCCCAGCCAGAGGCATCATCCCACAAAGAGCTTCTGTGACTCAAGCAGGTCATGGTGCGCATCTCTTGGTGGTTGTTGCCCAACTTGCTGTGTAGTGAATGATGTGGTTTCCATTCAGTCCCTGAGGCAACCCTGTAGCCAGACCTACACACTTATTTTACTCCATTGTAGGCCTTTGTGTGGAGATTTCAGTTCATCTGATTCCTTTTGATGCTCTGGGTAGGTGTGAGTTGCTGAATCTTAGGTCCTCATGCTGACCCTATTGAACAGGTGATGGAGAAGTTGAGCAACTTCTAAGTGCTGCGTGGTTGGGAGATCTACACAACTAGGTCCAGGGGTCTTTAGCATCTTAAGCTGTTATGAAATGTTACTGTCTACACATGAACATGACCATCCATTAGCACACAGGCCGGTATGGTATGGCACTGGAGAAGTAGCTCTAAATCCTGATCTGCAGGACTGGGAGAGTGACTGGGCCTTGTGGGTCTCACCCCAAGCCCCAGTGACATACCTTCAACAAAGCCACACCTTCTAATCTTAAACAGTTAAAGCCTATAAGGGCCATTCTCATTTGAACCACCACATTTCTAGCCATGTCCAACAATCACATACTATTACATTCCAAAAGGGAGTAAGTGGAGGCAGAAACTGAACCAAAGCAAGACCAAAAAAACTGAGAACTTCATATATGTCTTAGATGGGACTGGCAACTGAAACACTTCTCTCAGGCCAAGTTCCACAGTCTCCAGCATTCCTGGCAGGTGTCCTCTTGGCATCATCGCAAAGTGACTAGGCCTCCAACTGGAACCAGTAGTACTGGGACACAGTGAGGTGAACAGAACAGAGCTGTAGTCAGCCATCTTATCCCTGCCTTGGTTGAACACATGAAAACCAGTCAAATTGCTTGAACTGCTACTACAGCCAGGGTCACAATTCCACAGTAGAGTTCAACTTGATTCTTGCAGAGGATCCAGGTTCATTTCCCTCACACATGGCTGGAGATCTAACTGGGCCAGTTTGATAGGGAAGCTCCCAAGCTCTATGGCCTGTTTCTGAATTATGTTTCTAGGCACTGGAGTCATCTGGTGTGTTTATGCTCAATCACCAAATGGATGCGCATTTTGAGTAATGGGTTGAATGGGTATATTTGAGCAGCTCTAGCAAAGGAAATGGGGGTGGTGGTGGTGCCTAAGATACTGTCTTGTCCCATTCAGAAGCAGGGGCCAGTGTGCCCTCAAAAATCTTTCCCTTGGACATGCCAACCAATATCCAGTCACTAGATCACAATGGGGACCTGGAGCTGTTCTCTGCAGGGCAAGCAAGCCTGTCAAATCGGGGCCAGCTCAGAGCAACAGCTTTCTTCCCGGAAGCTCGGTCTTTCCCAGAGCACAGTCTTCCAGTGGTTGCTCCAGCGTTGACCTTCCTGTTGCCTCTGCACAGACACTCCACCCAGTGTCATCTGAAGGATTCTAGGAAGCCCAGGGGGACCTTGAGGCCACTTAGAAGCCCTCTATCCAAGCCATCTCATAAGGTCAAGGTGGCCTAGAAAGGGTTTAAAACCCTAATTTCGCTTTCCAAAAAGACCATGAAACTAGGAACCGTTGGCCTTGGTTGAGGAAACATCACCCAGGCAGTGAGGCTGTTCCACTCACCCTAAGGCAAGTCCCTAGGGACTTAGTCCAGTGACTGTGTCCACACCTGCCATGTTGAGTTGGGAAAATCAACTTTTAAGTACAGTGCATTCCTTGCTACCCAGGTAAGGGTCCAACCTAGACCCAAATACACCTGCTTTCTGGCTGACCACATTCTGGGTAGGCAAAGTTAGAAAATACTCAAGGTGTGATTCAAGATGAACCAGAGGGTCACGTCTAATGGTCTTACCTCCAACCCTGCCTAAGGTCAGAAACCTAATATTTTTCCAACCAAAAGATCAAAGAAAATTTCAGTTTTCACAAGTTTTATTTTTGTTTTCAAAATTGTTATTGAGATGTTGGGGAGAAACAGCCAACCTATACATCCCTTACTTCGTCACGCCTGGCATTTTACCCACTCTCGATAGGATCTTTCTCTGGCTTTGGTCTAACTTCAGGTCTCTGTGGCAGTCCCCCTCTGCTCTTCCGTTGCTGCCTGGTGTTGTTTGAAGTCCACCAGGGCAGAGCTCGTTGCCGCATCACAAGTGGGAGCGGTAAGTGCGACTTGCTGTGGGGAAGGACAGATTTACAACAGGGACACCTGTTAAAACAGCCATCAGCATCCTCGTCCCTAAGGAACTCATCCCCTGGAACCCCGGCATCTGAGGTTGGGATTGCCGGTTCCAACTGAGGATGGCCTCCATGGAGGTGGCTGGGAGAACACGTCCTTGAACTTGGACTGCTCTCCTCACCCTTCACTTACCATCATCGCCCCGTTTCCTACTCTTCAGGCTGCCCTTCCGGTATTTTCTCTTGCTGCCTCCTCTCTTGACACCCTTGTGAGGAACTCGGTTTTTTCCTCTCCTCATGCCATGACTCTTTAGCTTTCGGGTGGTCGACATTGTAATTTCTGCCAAAATGAGGGGCTTTGCAAGGCCGGCAGGGCCGGGAGTCCATGTATTTAAGGTCTAAGCCATTGTGACTGCAAAGCGGTGTGGCGTGGCAGCCGGGTGGGGCTCTCTTGTGATGTCACTAGCCTTTGCTGCCCCTTGGTCATACATATGAAATAAGGCGGCCTCTTCAGTGCAGCTCAAGTCTGGTCCTCAATTTTGAGACCTCCCCCCTTTTTTAGGTTAAAGAAGGCTTTTCAACAGGTATTGAACAACTAAGTCCCACCCCTGTACTGGGCCTAGGAAGTGTTTCACCAGTGGTCATTAAAATGTCCCTTGCCTGTAGAGAACTTAAAAGTCACTGAATGTGGATATTCATGTGCATGAAGTACTGGTCTCACGGTGTCTGCAGGCAGCAAATGTATTTTCACAAACACTTCAGTCTAGGAGAGCTGGTTCAGTGTAATCCAAGTATGTTTCTTCCCTTTGCACTTTTGACATCAGGGGCTGAGTAAGTCTTAATGTTGTATCTTGTGTGTTTTGGGGTTTTGGAGGGGGGGCTATCCCTGCCTTCTCCACCTGCTACAAATCAGTAGAACCAGAACCTCTGCAGATGTGACAGCTCTCTCCAAAGGTTTCCACCTGTGTATTTGGGAGTCTGGGATGCAGAATCACCATCGTTGGGAGCCACTCAAGAATTTGCTTATGTAGGTAGGATATGTCTGTCACACATTTGGGCACTGGAAAGTCTAAAGATATAGCCTAGAGACAAAGTCCTGTGTGCATGGAGCTTTCAGCCTAGTGGATGCAATCCGTTAAACCACTGGTCAGGCATCTCCATAAATCGGTGAATTCGTTGGGGCTGTTGAGTTGGTGATGGAGTGAGTGGGAGAACTGAGTGAATTAGAGAGACTCTACCATAGCAGTGGTCCAGGAGGAAGGCTTTTATCACAGCTTCGCTGTGGGAGGGAAAGGGATAGCTGAGGTAGAGAACCAGACAAGGACCAAGCCTTAGAGATGGATTGGATGTGGGAGGCGAGAGTGGATAGTGTCAGGGAGTGGATGCTTGAGGCAGTGAGATCAGGCTGGGCTTTTGAATATGGGTTGGAAGTGCTTTTGTGACTCCGCAGTAGAGAAACTGAGCGATGATTATTAAGTATGTGAGTCAGGAAGACTTATCCAACATTTTGGCCTCTCTTTATAACTCATACCAAGTTCCATAGAACACATTTCAGCAGACATTGAAAAGTTCTTTCTCGCTGGGGAGGTGGTGGCACACGCCTTTAATCCCAGCACTTGGGAGGCAGAGGCAGGTGGATCTCTGTGAGTTCGAGGCCAGCCTGGGCTACAGAGTGAGTTCCAGGAAAGGCACCAAAGCTACACAGAGAAACCCTGTCTCAAAAAACAAAAAAACAAAAAAAAAAAGTAAGGAAGTTCTTTCTCCCTCATCCTCCGTTATCCTCATTCAAGAACTGAGCAAACACGTAGGAGGTTTCTAGCAAAAGTTGGTTGAGTAGAAGAGAATGTAGTGTAACCTCTTCTCCCGTATTTCTGATGTTTATAGGTAATAAGATGTTTGAGTGCCAGATTCTTCGAATGGCTTAGTTTCAAGTCAACAGCCTGGTGAGTCTCCTCATGGCTTCCTCTTCATATTTTTAACACTTCCTGGTGCACTTGAGGATGGTTTGGTGCCTGCTTTTCTCTCAACCTGCATCTCATTGTAAAGCACCCTTCCACACCAGCCAAAATGACTCCTGAAGAGTTTATTCACTGATTCCTTGGTGACTTTTATTCTCAGAGAGAGGGTGGAGCGATATCAAACAGTGTTCCACCTTGCCCTGTGTATTTCAAGCTCCTCTGTCCATTCTAGCCATTCTGCTTTTCCCCTCTTCCAGACAGGCCCACGAGAACACAGATCTCCCAAGAAGCTGGGAGCTAGCAGCTCTGCCCACCACTGCATGGAGCTTGGCGGTAAATGCTCCTGCCACAGAATGGGGTCTCACTGAGCCTTTGTGGAAAATAATTGTTAAAAGAACAATTTCATTGTCTTAACTCATCCTAGCCCTTCCGTTTTGTCCTACAATTCTAAGGAAGATGTCACCCGCTTCTCACACACTCCTCGCGTTCTGCCATTTCTTCCAAGTCTATTATTCTGTAACATCATCCTCCAAATTGAGGCAATGAACTACGTAAGCCCATTTTGTGCCTGGATTGCCGCACAGCATGTTAGGTTGGTCTCAACGGAAGGCAGCCTATCTTGGTTCTGATACTGGCTGGATTTCTCAGGACTTTGTCTCTCTTGTTTGCAAATAAGCATGTTGAGTTAGGTGACCAGGTGGTCACCAAGATGAGTTGGTGGTCCCCTTGTTACCAACATTTTCTCTCTCATTTCTCACAGGAAATGTTGTCTCCCAGCAGTGAGCCTCTTTCCTCCACATCTTGCCTCATCCAATGGGACTCAGGTTTTCTTTCTTTTTTGACTTTATTTCTGACTAACAAAAGGAAGTAGTTTATAGTAGTAGTTGGCAGAGAGGTTGGAGGTGTGGCCTTTGTTGAAGAGAAACTGTGCGTCCCTTGGAGTAAGTGGATGGACCTTCTCTCTTGAGATGGTCAGATGCATTGACCATATAATGTCTTATCTCCCATCAGGGCAGCTAGAGTCACACTTGGGACTAGACATGTCAGACAGGTAGTCCAACGTAATGAGAAGGGCTTGGTGAGAACAGATTTACACTCTGGTGCTCTGTGCTCACCTCTGTATTTCAGAGGAACTGGATCCTTGGTTTAAGAGGCTTTTCTGGTGGGATGGTCCTGGAGACAAGATACTATTTCTCTTTCCAACTCCTACCTCCCTAAAACCTGCTCTGCCCCAGGGAAGTTGAGATCGCAGGATTTGAGAGCTGATGAAGACGTTTTCAATCTTACTTCAGATAGCAAGCACACTGAGAAACCCCAGTTGTAGAGAGCCATGCTCTGGGAAGTAAGTCATGGGCTAGGCAAGGGCTGGGCTGGAGGCCTGCGGGTTGGCTCTTAAACCATATCTCCTGGGGTGGACAGAACTGGGGTGAACATCAGTCACTGTTGTTGCTTTTTCTGCTCCAGTGGACTACGAACCAAAGGCCATTTAGGAGGAGAATAGTGACCTCACCTCTGACCCTTCCCAGGTTCAGAGGAAGTCCCCACCCCATCAAGAACCATGTGTTAACTCAGTCTGCTCACTTTCTTTACCCTGGCTTCTGCTAAGTTTTATTCTGGTGTGGAAAAAGGACAGGTTCAGAGTGTCACTGTTGTGGCAGTCATATTTCCAGTTGGATCCTCTCTCACCTCTCTGAACTTCATTGGTTTTCCTGAGGAGTCCTATAGATGTCTTCACAGGGATGAATCTGCCCACCAAATTTGGACTTGGAGTTTATTAAGAAGGAGAGTAGAAGTGCTTCTGACCGCTCTTATACATGCTGGTGACTAAGTCTGAGTCCCTCTCTGAAATCTAAGTCTTCCAGATGTTGTCTTCAGCTGGGGAGTGGGGACCCTGTTCACACATACACCCCGTTTTGTGTACTGCTGCTGATGTTTTTGTTCAGACACGCCGTGGGTATGGGGACAGGCTGGGGAAGGTGAAAATAGATGAGCTACCTCACTAAGGGTCAGAGCCTTCTAAGCCACGCACACCTCTGATATCTTTGGTAGAGAACCAAAGACAAGAGATTCAGGACAAATAGTGGCTTTCTGAGAGAAGAGGAGGGACTTTAACTCAGCTCACTTTTACCATCAGGTGCTGGAGACACTCTGGATCACCTTGGTTCTACGGATGTTCTGCTCTTTTCCATTTTTTTTTTTCTTACTGGCTCCTCTCCCATCTTTTCTACAGAATTCCCTGTGTCTTGCTATGTTTTTAGTAACACAGTTAGTGAGCAGCTGGAAGATAGGGACTCAGTATCTGTGGGAGACCCTTCTGAGGTCCTTGTCTGGTTTATTTTGGGGGCCCCTTTCCTAAAGGAATGTACCTAGGCAGTGGAAGACACACGGCTGACCCCCTTGCTGATCTCAAACCTGAGGGCTTCCCATTGCTCCACAGTGTCTTGTCCAGCCTTGACTCTGCACTCATGTGATAGGATCATGGTGGAAGAAACGTGAAAGCAGAGAGAGAGAGAGAACTGGGAAAAGTGTCACATCTGTACAGGCAGGCTGTAAATTAGAGGACTGAAAGTCCAGTTTATTTGGACTTCAGGAAAATTTTCTTCATTCATGTTGCTTTCCCGGAAGTCATCACTAATAATAACCTGAGCATTGTGGTTATACACAAAACAAATCCAAATGTCATGCTTCAGAAGGGTCCAGATAACACTGACCACTTTCCTGTCTCTACTGAATCTAAAAAAACATACGTGTTCTCAGAATGCAATGTACGTTCCTCTTGTTAAGTGCCTTAAATTTTGTGTATGCATTAAATCACTTGGCCTCATATGGTCTGTAGGAGTGAAAGTGTTTTAATCCATCTATGGACTGGAGTAGGAGGGTTTCTAGAGAACACAGCAAATAGGCCAGGATGAAGGGAGCTTAGACATCTTCATCCCCAGTCCAGGCTACTTGACATGGACCATGATGCTCAGCTGCAATGACTTTTCTTGGTCTTTCCTTCCCATGCCCTATGCATTTTCCTTGCTTCTTTATTCTCCTCCTTATGTTCTGAGAACCATTTGTCGGGTTCTTGCCTTCTAGAAGTCATTCCATCGTCAGACCATCCCCCCCAAAGTATTTGCCACTAAGAAGGGAAAAGAGTCAGGGGTTGCCACATGTTCAGCCAGCGCCTTCATAATTGATGATATAAAGCATTGTGACCCCTGTGCTGGTGCCAATGCATCAGGCAGAGGAGGTACCAAATGGTCCCACGATACTTCACAGCAAGGCTGTATTCTAAGAAGTATCCTTAAGGGACCAAGAATACACCTTTATCCTTTTAACATGAATGATATAACAATTCTGACCAGGCTTGTTTTGTATTTCTGACTTAC